TGGAAGAGCTGAAGGATCATGAAGACGAGTTTAATGAGGAGGATGAACATGCTATTGAAATGTACAGGTGGCAGACTGGCTGAGTGGAAAGCAACGAAACTGAAGAATAAATTTGGAGAAGTTCTGGAGATCTCGGAAAGGATTATGTTCAAGAAGTTACCAAAGCCTGTGAGGACTTGTGGGTCATCTTGCACCTCTACAAAGAATTCCCCTCTGGGCCCTGATAACTCAGCACCTCAGTGGACTTGCCAGGAAGCTTCCTGATGTCAGATTTATCAAAGCCATTTCAACAACCTGCACACCCAATTATTCTGATGGGAATCTGCCCACAATATTTGTTTACCTGGAAGGAGATATCCAGGCTCAGTTTATCGGTCCTCTGGTGTTTGGCGGCATGAATCTGACAAGAAATGAATTGGAGTGGAAAGTGTCTGAATCAAGGGCAATTAAGTTGGACCTGGAGGAGAACCCTAAGAAGCCGATTGAAGATGTGTTGCTGTCCTCAGTATGGCACTCTGACCCTATGAGGAGGGACAGCAATTCCAAGGGTGACTGAAGCTGCAGCTGCTATCACATGCTCATTTTTCTCGTGACAAATTGTATGGATTTTTTAAAAAAAGAGAGAAAGGAAGAATAAATCCTTCTGGTTTTTGTTTTTGTATAAATAAAATCTTTATTTTTTTATAAATAAAATCTTTTCAAATCTTTACATTTTAGAAATAATCATTGCTGGAAATTCGGTTACATTTTTTGGAACTCTTTTTTTAAATTATAGTCGTTCCTCTAAAAATATTAAAACCAGCTATTGGTATGGAAAAATAAGTTAAAAAAAAACATAGCCTATTCCTTCAAGATGAAAGTTAATGTTTCAATAGCAAATTAGAAATAATTGCCTTTCTAAGGAGACTCATGCTACTGACACAGCATTCTAGAAATATATGTAGAAATATTTCCATTGTTATGTAATTTGGATGCAAAAACAAGATAAGTGCAATTATCATAAATTTTTTTAAATCTCCTATTAGTACATTCTAAAAATTTGGAAACAAGATTTTTAAATCAGCTTAACATTCTTCTAAACAAAAAACTTCAGTGGAATTTAAAGCCATTTTTATAACAATAAAACAGTAATACTGCCTAATTATTTGCAAGAACTGATTGACATCAAGGAAGATGGAAATCTACTAGCCAAATTTATCATAAGGGTTTTCAAAACTGGTAAATGGGAATTAGTTAAAACACCCAGTAAGGAAATTCTTCCATTTGGATGTGTGTGTCTTTGTCAAACACGTTTTATAGATGCAAAAACCATTGTAACCAAGTGCTGAAAAACTGAATTGAGAAACACATTTGAATGTATGACAAATTTTTAAAGAAAATTTTGTAAAATAGTGATGCATACTCAAATATAATTATAATTTTAGTGAGATAAAAACTTTTGTGTCATTAATAAAATAAAAATAAAACAATGATTATCATTAGCTCAGCCTTCTTTTTTTTTTTTTTTTTTTTTTTTTNTTGAGATGGAGTCTCTCTCTGTCACTAGGTTGGAGTGGTGCAGTGGCACAATCTCGGCTCACTGCAACCTCTGCCTCCAGGTTCAAGCAATTCTCCTGCCTCAGCCTCCCGAGTAGCTGGAACTACAGGTGCATGCCACCACGCCCAGCTAAGTTTTGTGTTGTTTGTAGAGACAGGGTTTCACCATGTTGGCCAAGATGGTCTCCATCTCTTGACCTCATGACTCTCCTTCCTTGGCCTCCCTAAGTGCTGGGACTACAGGCGTAAGCCACCGCACCCAGCCAGCTCAGCCTTTTAGGGTTATAATTGGTATAGGTTTTATGATATGCATAATAGATATTGACATAGCAGTTTGTCTATAATCTGCAAATGAGTAAAAATACGTATAGTGAGGATACACATTCAAAATTATTTTACTAACAGAGGCATGCAAACAAAAAATTTTGGAAGGCAGTGCTATTCATGATGCATTCTGTGAACCCACAGCATCAGTGTAACATGTGACATTGTTGGAAATGCAAATTCTGGGGCTCTAGCCTAAACCTACTGAATCAGAATCTCTAGGAGAGGCGGACAGGAATATGGGTTTTGACAAGATCTCAAAGTGATTATCTAAGGCATGATACAGATCTAATGAAGACACTCCTCTTTAAAACCTGCCTGCTGCTTATGAAATTGAAGCAGCCTTCTCACCATATCATTTAAAGGCTCTCCAAATACAGCCCAGCATCTTTTAGTGGCCTGTGTCCATGACTCCTTGCCAAGTTGGAAGCCCCAGGTATTCTTGGGTGCACCCTTCTCTCCTCTCCAATTTTCTTCACCTGGAATTCCTCCCAATCTGATTATGTCTGCTTAACCAAAACCTTTACAATCTTACAATGTGTACTTCAAAAGTGACCTATTTTAAGAAAATCTGCATGATCTTACTGAAGAAAGAAATATCTACATATCCTTCCTGCCCTCCGTATTTTTAATGATGCCCATGGCATCTTGTTTGTTCATAACCCCCTGGACTGTATTGTATCATGCATTATAACGATTTGCATACTTACCTAATTCCTTCTAAAGATTGTAGGCTCCTAGAGAGGAGACTTGCTTAATCTTTCTTTATTCCCTAGCTTAGCTTGGGCCTGGAAGGCTCTAATTGCTAGATACAGAATTGAAATAAAATTCCACAACTGAGCTCAGCCCACACTGTTTTCTTCCTTTATCACTCTATTGGGGCCACTACCTCATCATGAAGAACCTGAATTTCTCGAGAACTTTCCACATACTTGGGTCATTAATTGGCTTTCTCATCCCCTCAGACTGCATTTCTGAGTTGCAAAATCTGTCCTGATCACTTAGTCATGATTGCAGTTTAAACACTAGAAAGCAATGATTTAAAAAAAAAAAAAAAAAAAAAAAAAAAAAAAAAAAAAAAAAAAAAAAAAAAAAAAAAGGTTGCTATGTTTGAGGTCTTATCAGTGCCAGATACTGTACAAATTGCTTTAGAGGATTATCTCATTCAGTCCTGACAAAACCTCCATTTGGTGGACACATTACCTCTCCCATTTTACCAGATAAGGAAACTGAGGTGCAGAAAGGGCTAAAAGATAGTAGGACCAGGATTGGAATCCAGGCTGCTGACTACAGAGCCTGCAAAATCAACCTCTCCATTACCCTGCTAAGAATAGAAGATACTACTCCACACCCATCCTTATATTAAACGCAATTCCTAGTCCTCCTAACCACATGAAAAATCACATGCATTAGAGTCAGTCTTGATGACAATATAAAAACTATGATTCTACTATGTAAGTTCAATTTAAATCTAGATCAAAGAAATCTAAATTACTCTTCATTTGGGCTATAATCTTATATTCCAAAGCTTAAATGCTTATAAGAAAGCTTTATCTAATTTAAGATTACTAGCTCAAATATAAGTACAGACTTAATACTATTTTTCCTCTAAAGTAATCAGTACAAAGAGTTCTATTCTTCCCATAGTAAAATATGTCATAGAACTTGAACTACTAGGCAATCACCATCTTTTCTTTATAAGAAAAAAAAGCCTTTGAAATATGTACCATAACCTCTGAAAAATACAATTATCCTCCCAAAGAAATTAGGCATTTTTTTTCTGACAAAAACTATGGGCAATTGATCTATAGTTCTTTTCTTCCTCGAAAAATTATTGTATATTGTGTAATGATCATTATAATTAAAAATTAAGATGGCTTGCAATAATTCCACCATTATTTGATTCAAAATCTTTATAAAATATTGGCATTTTCCAACATTTATTTTTCCTGTCTATGTTCCATTTAAGGCCAAATTTTCAAACCCAGCTGCCAAATTACACATATAATTACTGCATTTGCGCACAAAAATGTGATAATTGCTTACACAATTTCAGAGGCCAGCTTGAGGCTCCTTTCCAAATTTGTTTTACATGTACAGTGCGGTGTAGTAGTTTTATATGAAAATTGGAAAAGTAAAATTCATGGTTTGTCTGGGTGATGTGTGAAAATGGATACAAAATAAAGCCTTTCTATAAATGCCTGGGCCTGTCTTCATATTTTCTCCCAATAGACCTTTATAAAAATTTTATAAAGCAGCTCAAACTTCAGCTGCTATTGGAATAACAGCAATGAAAGGGGATGATGCCTGGTACAATGCCTTAAATTGTTCAGGTGCCCATTTTGTTGGTCAACATAGTGTCATGAGGCATTCTTCTGTCTATAAACTGCTCCCATAAACCCAGGCAAGAAAGATAAAGGTGATACAAGGCCCGCAATCATACAGTCAGCCAAGATGACAGCAGCCTCAATAGGGCAGAGTAGTTGTGAGTATTAGGGAAATAATACATAATTTCCCCTCCGACTTTGCCTGACAGTTGATTTTACAGTTTGGCAAGCATCCACTATGGATATAGCTCACAATGGGTATCCCTAGTGGAAGCTTTGGTTCAAGAAAAGGCAAAGAAACAAGACCTAGCTAGTCATACACATTAGTGAGATAATCTAAGATATTATTGTTTCAAAGCAAAAGTAGGGAAGAAAATTATGGCCAGTTGCACATAAACTGGTACCTATGCTCAAATATGTACTTTCCAAACTCAAGGATTATGAATCTGATCTCTGACTATTACTAAATATCTGACTACAGAAATGACCAGAAGCAATTAGGTCAGAAATCTATTAAATACGGAAGGACATTCTATTTGAGAAATTTCCAGCTATTTTCCATAGAGGTGATACTAACCATTCCCACCAACAGTGTAGAACTATTTCCTTTTCTCAAATAACTAAAAATAGAACTACCATGTGACTCAACAACTCCCCCTACTGGGTATCTACCCAAAGGAAGAGAAATTGTTATATCAAAAAGACACCTTCACTCTTAACGTTTATTGCAGCACCATTCACAATAGCAAAGTTATGGAATCAACCTACATATCCATCAACAGATGATTGGATTTTTTTTAAAGGTGGTATAGAATGCTCACAGTGCGCAGGCACAGGGCCCTCGCCCTGTCAGTCGGCACTGCGTGCCGGCAGGTGGCTCTGTGGCCACGGTGCGGGCAGCGGTGGCAGCGGCTGGACTCCCGCACTACGAGCGGCCTCAGCACCTAGGAAAGCGCCGCGCCCTTCTCTCTGGAGTAACAAGCCCTCCTCAAAAATGAGAAAATTCAATATATATCTCCATTTCGTGTTGTTCCAATTTTTGCAGGTAAGGATGAGTTCCACATGGTAGTTGAAGTACCACGCTGGTCTAATGCAAAAATGGAGATTGCTACAATGGACCATTTAAACCCCATTAAACAAGATGCGAATAAAGGAAAACTTCATTATGTTGTGAATTTGTTCCCGTATAAAGGATATATCTGGAACTATGGAGCCATCCCTCACACTTGGAAAGACCCAGGGCGCAATGATAAACCTACTGGCTGTTGTGGTGACAATGGCCCAATTGATATGTGCGAAATTGGAAGCAAGGGATGTGCAAGAGGTGAAATAATTGGCGTGAAAGTTCTAGGCATATTGGCTATGATTGAGGAAGGGGAACCCGACTGGAAAGTCATTGCCATTAATGTGAATGATCCTGACGCAGCCAATTATAATGATATCAATGATGTCAAACAGCTGAAACTGGCTACTTAGAAGCTACTGAGGACTGGTTTAGAAGGTACGAGGTTCCTGATGGAAAACCAGAAAATGAGTTTGCTTTTAATGCAGAATTTAAAGATAAGGTTTGCAATTTATATTAAAAGCACTCATGATCATTGGAAAGCATTAGTGAGTAAGAAAATGAATGGAAAAGAAATCCATTGCATGAATACAGCTGTGTCTGAGAGCCCCTTCAAGTGTGATCCGGATGCTGCCAGAGCCATCGTGGATGCTTTACCACCACCCTGTGAATCTGCCTGCACACTACCAACAAAAGTGGATAAGTGGTTCTATCACCAGAAAAATTATTGAGATTTCTCTGGAATACACACTGATATTGCTGCATTGTATTCATCTGGACAGGAAAAGTAGTAGCTTTCCAAAGCTTTAAATTTGTAGAACTCATCTAACTAAGGTAAATTTTGCTGTAACCAATTCAATATACTCAGAATGTTAGCGTCTAAAGCATTTTTCATATCTCAACTAAGATAACTTTTAGCACATGCTTAAATATCAAATCAGTTGTCACTTGGAAGTCACTTGTGAATAGATGTGCAAGGTGAGCACATAATGGATGTATATGTTACCATATGTTAGGAAATAAAATTATTTTGCTGGAAAAAAGTGGTATATATGCATTATGGAATACTATTCATGCATGAAAAAGAATAAAGTAATGTCTTTTGCAGCAACATGGATGGAACTGGAGGTCATTATCGTAAGTGAAATAACTCAGAAACAGAAAATCAAGTACCACATGTTCTCACTCATAAGTGGAAGGTAAACAAAGTATACACATGGACACAAAGATGGAAATCATAGACACCAGTGAATCCAAAAGAGGGGAGATTTCAGAGAAGGGTGATGGTTGAAAATTTACCTATTTGGTATAATGTTCACTATTCAGGTGATGGCTACACTAGGAGCTCAAACCCTACTATATGCAATGTGTCCACGTAAAAAACATGCGCATGTACCCCCTGAATCTCTAAAACCAAAAAATAATTGAAGGACGTTCTCCTGCCAAAGACACCCTGAAAGTATCATGTTATCCTCCCCAATGGCTAGTTAAAATAATCATAACTAACATTTCCTGACCACTCAATATATGTTAAACAATGTTCTAAGAATTTTGCATGCATTCATTTCCTCTTTGCATGCTTACTAATTTTAAGAGGTAAGTACTATTATTGTCTTCATTTTACATCTGAGGAGACTGAAGCACAAAGAGTTTAAGAAACTTGTTGAATGTCATACAATTAAAAAGTCACAAATTCAGTATTAGAACCCGAGCATACAATTAAAAAGTAGCAAATCCAGCCAGGCCTGGTGGCTCATGCCTGTAATCCCAGCACTTTGGGAGGCCAAGGCAGGTGGATCACTTGAGCTCGTAAGTTCCAGACCAGCCTGGCCAACATGGTGAAACGCCATCTCTACTCAAAATACAAAAATCAGCCAGATATGGTGGCATGTGCCTGTAATCCCAGCTGCTCTGGAGGCTGAGACAGGGGAATTGCTTGAACCCGGAAGGTGGAGGCTGCAGGGAACCAAGGCTGTGCCACTGCACTCTAGCCTGGGTGACAGAGCAAGACTCCATCTCAAAAAAAAAAAAAAAAAAAGTAGCAAACCCAGCATTAGGATCTGGGCATTCTGACTCCAAAGCCTTTACTTTTAACCTTAACAACATACTGACTCCCAGATGGAGCCAAGGAAAAGAGGGGACAAGGATAGCCTAAAAAATAGAAGACTTTGAGTAGCCAGCATGACCATCTAAATAATTCACTACTGGAATGTAGTCCCCACCACTTCTGCCCAGCAGGAATGACACTGTCATAGACTAATGGCCACTGTGGGTTGTTTCCCACTCTTCTCTTTCCCAAATGGAAATTTCTTTAAATTAAAGTTATCCTGTCCTTTATATGTTTATATGGATTGTGTTATAGAGGGATAACATATTAACAAAAGTCTCTAAACTATGAAAAGTTTCAACCAGACATGAAGAAGAGGATCACAATTCACCCAGAGAATCAAAACTTGGAGCTAACACACTAAATCTTGAGTTGTCTCTAGTAGGAAAACATAGGTTTTTCTGAGAGTATGGACAGAAAGAAGGGTTTGTATGAACACTGGTCAGCCAAAGAACAATCATTGGTAATTTATCCAGCAACCAATTCCCCCTTTCTAAAAATATCTACCTCTTTCTCAGCAGGTTCATGGGCTTTGGGGACCTGAACCTCATGGCCAGTCCAAGAAATGAATGAGTCCGGATTAGTATGCCAATCAGAATAATCTTACCTTATCCTCACATCAACCTTGACATGACAATTGGCTTAAGAATGGTCAGTAACCGTTCCTGGATCCAAGATGGCCAAGTAGGAGCAGCTCTGGATTGCAGCTCCCAGTGAGCGCGTGGAGGGTGAGTGGCCACTGCATTTCCAGACAGCTTTTTATTGCCCACAGACGAAGATATTCCCGGGCAGAGGAGCCCCACGGGTCTCCACCACGGCTGTTTGAGCTGGCAAGGTGGCTCTCCGCTCAAAAACCTCACACAGGTCTGGGCACCATTTCAGCTGGCAACTGGAGTGCCTGGGAGACAGTCACCCATTCAACTGATAAAAAAGGGGACTGAAATAGAGAGCCAAGCCAGGAGATTCCCAGGTGAAAAAGTGCCACAAGTCTCCAGCGCAGCTGTTTCAGCCAGCACAGTGGGTCTCCACACAAAATCTCACACAAATCCGGGCGCCTTTTCAACAGGTGACTGGAACACCTGGAGGACAGAGCCGCCCATACAACTGATAAAAAGGGGACTGAAACTGGGAGCCAGGCCAGGAGATTTCTGGGGGGAAAAGCGCCTCTAGCACAGCCGGGGCAGTGGGTCTTCACACAAAATCTCACACAAATCCGGGCGCCTTTGAAACTGGCAACTGGAATGCCTGGGAGACAGAGTCGTCCGTTCAACTGTAAAAAAGGAGACTGAAACAGGGAGCCAGACCAGGAGTATCCCGGGCGAAAAAATACCAGGAGCCCCCAGCGAGGCTGTTTCAGCCAGCACAGTGGGTTTCTGCCCAAAAATGCACACAAATCCGGGTGACATTTCAACTGGCAACTAGAACACCTGGGAGACAGAGTCACCCGTTCAACTGAAAAAAAAGCAGTCTGAGGCAGGGAGCCAGGTGATCAGGCATGGCTGGTCCCACCCCCACAAAGACCAGCAATCTGAAATGCTCTAGATTGAGAGTTTCACAGCAAGCACAGCTGAACTCGGGACAGTCCAGCTCTGTGGGGGAAGGGCATCCGCCATTAGTGAGGCAGTCCACCACTACCAAGGTAGTCCGCCATTGCCAAGGCGGTCCACCATTGCTGAGGCAGTTCTAACTATACCCCTACAAACAGGACTACAGGGAAGTTCACACAGCAGCTGGGCAGAGCCCACAGCAGCTCAGCAATGCCTCTACTGGCAGACTATGACTAGGCTGCCTCCTTGCTGGGGAGGGCATCCCTGAAAAAAGGCAGCAGCATGACAGAAACTTATAAATAAAGCCCTACCTTCTGGGGACAGAGCACCTGGGGAAAAAAAGGCTGTTATGAGTTCTGCTGCAGTAGACTTAAATGTACCTGCCCAGCAGCTCTGAATGGAACAATGGAGCTCACAGCTCAGCACTTGAGCTCCCACAAAGGACAGACTGTATCCTCAAGTAGCTCCCTGAGCTCCATATATCCAAATAGTCACCTCACAAAGGAGAGCTCAGACTGACGTCTGGCAGGGCAAGTATTCTTCTGGGACAAAGACAGCAGAAGAAACTGGCAGCAACCCTCACTGTTCTGCAGCTGCTGCAGGTGAGCCCCAGGCAAGCAGGGTCTGGAGTGGACCTCCAGCAGTCCTACAGCAGAGGGGCCTGACTGTTAGAAGGAAAACTAAGAAACAGAAAGAAATAACTTCATCATCAACAAACAGGACGTCCACTCAGAGACCCCACCTGAAAGTCACCAACTACAAAGACCACAGGTAAATAAATCCACAAAGATGGGAAGAAACCAATGCAAAAAGGATGAAAACACCCAAAACCAGAATGCCTCTCCTCCTCCAAGGGATCACAACTCCTCACCAGCAAGGGAACAAGACTGGATGGAGAATGAGTCTGACGAATTGACAGAAACAGGCTTCAGAAGGTGGGTAAGAAGAAACTTCTCTGAGCTAAAAGAACATGTTCTAACCCAATGCAAAGAAACTAAGAACCTTGAAAAAAGGTTTGACGAAATGCTAATGAGAATAAACAGCTTAGAGGGGAACATAAATGAATTGATGGAGCAGAAAAACACACCACAAGAATTTCATGAAGCAAACACAAGTTTCAATAGCCAAATAGATCAAGCAAAAGAAAGGATATCAGAGGTCAAAGATCAACTCAATGAAATAAAATGAGAAAGCAAGATTAGAGAAAAAAGAGTAAAAAGAAATGAACAAAGTCTCCAAGAAACATGGGATTATGTGAAAAGACCTAATCTACGTTTGATAGGTGTACCTGAATGTGACAGAGAGAATGAATTCAAGCTGGAAAACATTCTTCAGGGTATTATCCAGGAAAACGTCCCCAACCTAGCAAGAGAAGCCAATATTCAAGTCCAGGAAATACAGAGAACACCACAAAGATATTCCTCAAGAAGAGCAACCCCAAGGCACATAATCATCAGATTCACCAGGGTTGAAATGAAGGAGAAAATGCTAAGGGCAGCCAGAGAGAAAGGTCGGGTCACCCACAAAGGGAAGCCCATCAGACTCACAGCAGATCTATCAGCAGCAACCCTACAAGCCAGAAGAGAGTGGGGGCCAATACTCAACATCCTTAAAGAAAAGAGCTTTCAACCTAGGATCTCATTTCCAGCCAAGCTAAGTTTCATAAGTGAAGGAGAAATAAAATCCTTTATGAACAGGCAATTACTCAGAGATTTCATCACCACCAGCCCTGCTTTACAAGAGCTCCTGAAAGAAGCACTAAACATGAAAAAGAACAACCAGCAACAGCGACTCCAAAACGTACCAAATGATAAAGAGTATCAACACAAAGAAGAAACTGCATCAAATACCAGGCAAAACAACCAGCTAGCATGAAAATGGCAGGATCGAATTCACACATAACAATATTAACCCTAAATGTAAATGGACTAAATGCCCCAATCAAAAGACACAGACTGGCAAATTGGATAAAAAGCCAAAACCCATTGGTGTGCTGTATCCGGGAAACCCATATCATATGCAAGGATACACATAGGCTCAAAATAAAAGGATGGAGGAAGATTTACCAAGCAAATGGAGAGCAAAATGAAA